ATTCAAAAGGCATTCAGAAGAGAACCCAGAAGGGTCACACCCTAACAGAATGACTTAACCAACCCTAGAATAAAGGCTACCCTAACCTACGGGTTGGCAAAATATGGCCTGCAGTTGGCTGGCTGTTTCTGTAAATAAAGTTTTATTGAAACACAGCAACATCACACAACTATATATTTTTTGTGGATATTTGAAGATTTGAGTGGTCACAACAAAGACAGTATGCCCTGCAAGCCTAAAATATTTACTATCTGGCCCTTTAAGAAAGAAGTTTTTTTTACAAAGGTTAAAAATGAGCCTGCGAGGACACCTGGGTGGCTCAGTTGGTGAAGCATCTGCCTTCGGCTCAGGTCATGATCTCAGGGTCCTGGGATCAAGCCCCGCATTGGGCTCCCTGCTCAGCGGGGACACTGCTTCTCCCTCTCCCTCTGTTCCTCACCCCTGCTCATGCTCTCTCAAATAAATAAAAAATCTTAAAAAAAAAAAAACAAGGCTGCAAAGGATCAAGTTGATCCACAGGTGATTAAACCACTGAACAAAAATTAGAAAATTAAAAAAAATAATAAAAATTCAACACCCATTAAGTGAAGACGACAAAATCCAGACACTCAACAACATAACATTCACACTGTCAAACATCCCATAAAAAAATTACTAGACATGTGAAGAAACAGAAAAATGTGACTTTAACCATGAGAAAAACCAGGCAATAGAAACAGACCTGCCAAACTATTCAAAGTGTGTATGTTAAATATGTAAAGCTTTTCATATATCAATCATACCTTTAAAAATTGGTTTTTAAAAAAGAAAGAAATATGGGCGCCTGGGTGGCTCAGTCGTTAAGCATCTGCCTTCGGCTCAGGTCTTGGCCCAGGATCCTGGGATGGAGTCCCACATCAGGCTCTCTGCTCGGCAGGAAGCCTGCTTCTCCCTCTCCCACTCCCCCTGCTTGTGTTCCCTCTCTCTGTCTCTATCTGTCAAATAAATAAATAAAATAAGAAAGAAAGAAATATACTTGGAAGTAAACAAATAAATTCAGAAAAGATCTTTCAAAAAGCTATTATAAATATTTATGTTCAAATACATAAAGAAAAACATAAATGTAGTAAGAAAAATAGAAAGTATAAAATATAAATAAACAGAACTTCTTCACAAGGGAAATCTCTTAAGTGGAAGATTCACTAAAGGAAACTAAGATTAAATTAGACACCAAGGAAAAAAAACACTTGAAGATAAAGTAACAGAAACTATCCAAATAGAAACATAGAAAGAAAAACACTGGCCAAAAAAATGAGCAGAGCCTCAGTGAACTGTGGGAAAATATCAAGCTAACATACATGTAATTGGAGTCCCATAAAAAGACAAAAGGAGAGCAGAAAAAAATATTTAAAGAATGAATGCCTGAAAATGTTCCAAATCTGATACAAACTATAAGAAACAGTTCCGAGAAGCTCAATGAGCTCCAAGCAGAATACACATGAAAAATCCACACTAGAACAGACCATAATTAAGTTATTAAAAATCAAATTGCTGAATGGAAATCTTAGAAGCAGTAAAAATAAATAAAGTCACTTACATATAAAAAATCAAAGATAAGAACTATCACTAATTTCTCATCAGAATCAATTCAAGATGGAAGACAACAGGACAACATCCTTAGCGCTAGAAGAAAAAAAGTCAACCTAAAATTCTATATCCATCAAAAATATCCTTCAAAAAAGGAGATAAAAGAGACATTTTCAGAGAAAAGGAATTGAGAAAATTCATCAGCAGCAGCCCTGCACTGTAAAACAACGTTAAAGGAAGTTCTTCAGGCAGGAGAGAGATGACACTAGATGGAAATCTGCATCTACATAAGGAAATAAAAGCAGTGGAAATGGTATGTACATGGAGTGACAATAAAACTCCTTCTCATGTCTGAAAATCTGTTTAATATAATCAATGGTTTAAATAATAACGACAACATGCTGTGAGGCTTATATCATGCATAGAAGTAAAACTTTTGACAATAGCACAAAGGACAGGAGGAAAAATACTTGCGTCAGTTCTTACATTAAACATGAAATACTGTAATATTATTGGAAGTTCATTGTGGTAAGTTAATGAACAGGGTGAATACACTAGAACAGTCCTTAAATACCAAAAAAAAGGGGCGCCTGGGTGGCTCAGTTGGTTAAGCGACTGCCTTCGGCTCAGGTCATGATCCTGGAGTCCCTGGATCGAGTCCCGCATCGGGCTCCCTGCTCGGCGAGGAGCCTGCTTCTCCCTCTAACCCTCCCCCCTCTCATGTACTCTCTCTCTCTCTCTCATTCTCGCTCTCTCAAATAAATAAATAAATCTTTAAAAAAAAAAAAAAAACAAAAAAAAAAAAAACAACAAAAAAAACCCCTAAAAAATGCTTGATTATTCTAAAAGAAGACACTAAAATAAGAGATGGCACAGACAACTAACAACAAGAGGGTAAATTTAAATCCAATCATATCAGTAATTACATTAAATCTGAGTACTCTAAATATTACAGTAAAAAAGCAGAGATTGTCAGACTAGATAAAAAAAGCAAGAGTCAGCTTTGCTGACTTCAAGAAACCCACTCTAAATACAAACACAAAAATACGTTGAAAGTAAAAGAATGAAAAAGGAAAAAGATCCACCATGCAAAAACTCATCGTAAGACAATTGGAGTGACTATCATAATATCAGACCAAGTAGACTTCAAAACAAAGAATATTACAAGAAATAAAAAAAGGGAGACATTTCATAACAATGAAGGAGTCAGCTATTTTTAGAAAAACCTAAATGCGTATGTACCAACAAATAACAGAACTTTAAAATATGTGAAGCAAAAACTGACAGACAGAAAGGAGAAATAGACAAATCCATAGCTAGAGTTGAAGATTTCAACATTCTTCCCTTAGTATTATCAGTCGAATAAGCAGAGTATCAGTAAGGATACAGAAGACCAACAACACTATCAACCAAGCTATCTGATTGACATCTACAGAACACTCCACCAAAAACAGCAAAACACAACATTCTTTTTTCAAGGGTATATGGAACATACAGCAAAACAGGACCACAAACCATAACACAAGTCTTAATCGATTTCAGAGAATTTCTATTATATGATATTCTCTGATCATAGCAAAATTAATTCAAAAATTGAAATCAGAAAGTTACCTGGAAAATCCCAAATTATTTGGAAGCTGAGAACATACTTCTACATAAGCTATGAGTCAAAGAAGAATCACAAAGGAAATTTTAAAATATTTTGAATGGAATAAAAATAACACAACATATCCAAATTTGTGGGATATGCTAAAACAGTAATTAGATTTAACAGTAATTAGAAGAAAATTTATAGTTTTAAATACTTATATGAGAAAAGAAGGAAAGTATGAAAATCACTGATCTAAGCTACTTTCACCTTAAAAAGCCAGAAAAAGAAAAGCAAAGTAAATTCAAGTACTGGAAAGGAAAAAATAAAACTATGAGCAGAAATAGGGGCGCCTGGGTGGCTCAGTAGGTTAAGCATCTGACTCGTGATTTGGGCTCAGGTCATGATCTCAGGGTCGTGAGACTGAGCCCTGCGTAAGGCTCTGTGCTGGGCGTGGAGTCTAAGATTCTCTCTCTCCCTCTTCCTCTGCCCCTCCCCCCTCTAAAAAAATATATGAGCAGAAATCAATGATAGAAAACAAACAACAGAGAAAATATAAAAACCAACAAAACCAAAATCTAATTCTCTGTAAAGATCAAGACAAGATGAGAGAAGACATAAATTATCAACATTAGGTCTGAAAGAGGAATCATCAGTACAGATCCTACAACAGAAAGATGATCATGTATTATGAGCAATTTGATGTGAATAAATCTGACAACTTACATGAAACAACCAATTCCTTGAAAGACACAGATTACCAAAACTGACTCAAGAAGAAATAGAAAGGCTGAATAGTTCCATAACTTTAAAGAAACTGAATACAGCATTCAACAGTAAACTTAAAATAAGTACATTTTATTGTATGTAAATTATTTCTTAATAAAATTAACTTTGAAGGTTAAGTAAAAAATGAGCAAGATTAAACTATAGCGTCCAGGAATGCGCATGTTGGGGACAACACTATAAAGAATGGAAATAAACACCACATACGTCTGGGTCATGTTTACCTGGGGCAGAGGAAGGCGGTTATGGTTTTGACAGGTATATGAAAGTGCTTCTGATAGCAGTCAGTGACAGAGAAGGATGTGCCTGAGAGTAATTCATTAAACTACATGTTTGTTCTGCATGTGTATACTGCAAGATGGTATTTGGCGTTTTTCTTAAAAGTTTAAACACCAGGTTTAAGAACCAAAATTTCTCCCTTTTTTTGGTCAAGAACTGACTCTGAGATCTCCCCCTAACTGTCAAAACCATGTCCACGGACGCCACTGGGCACTTTACTGTTTTCACTGTACTCTAAAAATCACTTCTGTGAAGCAACACAGTAGCTTGGGGGATGAGGGAAGCAGGTGGGAGAAAGCTTTAAATGAAATATTCTGAAGTTCAAGGTAAATGATACATATATTTAATAAATGCAGTCATGCAACTTAATAACAAATATATCCAAAATATATATTTATACATAAAACAATGAACAGCTATATATTTAGCTGCTAAAGCGTGGCTTAGCCTGAACTGTCAATAAATATAGTGTCATTCAAGAGGCAGGACACACAGTGGCTAAGAGCATGGGTTGTGGAGTCAGACCGCCCAGTGCACACCCAGCTCTCCCACACAGGAGCTGTAAAACCTAGGGCCGGTCCCGCTCCCTGGGAACCCCGTCGGGCTGCCGAGCACAGCGGAGCTGGAGCCTGCACACGGAAAGCATGCAGAACTACACCCACCGCGGGCATGCAGGAAGCACTTCCTCGCTGTTAGCTGCCATTGGTGTTTCTAGATGCTAAGGAAATACTGATGCTAAGTAACCTTTGGGGAGAAAGAGACAAGGAAAAGAGCCTCTCACCCTCCTTTGTGCTTCTTTTTCTTTGGAGTGTCTTCCTCTGAGGTCCTCCTGCCACGACCCCGGGAGCCTCTTTTTTCTTTCTGACCTCGACCTTCTGAAAGACAATAAACACCCCAATTATCTTCACAGAATTCACTGAAGCAGGACACGAGTTACTCAAATATATTTACCATAATGTTCCTCACATATTTATCACCAAAATTCTTCAAAACTCCACAGAAAACAGTAACAAAATAAAGAAAAATTAACAGACTTGCTTTTTAACCCTCGTCCTCCAGAGCTTTCAAAGTCACTGCCCTCCATCTTGTCCTTCAGATCCGCTTCGAAGCGCGCCAGGTCTGCATCGAGCCTTCGAATGTGTTTATCCACCTACAGAGAAGGATGCTCACGAGTCTTATTTAAAAATGAAAGCAAAACACCTCAAGAATCAAACACACTGGAAATCAACCAGGAAGTATTTTCTTGCACTTTAATTGAGTTTTCAATTAAGAAAGCTCCTAAAACAAGGTCCACTATCTCAGTTTATGAAGGGTCTTTGTCCCCACGTTTTGAAACCTTAACAGAAGAAACCCTACTCAGGAAAACCACGACGGCAGGCAATAAGGAGAAATGGGGCTGTGATATGCAATGGAATGGGGACGAGGACATATAATACTAAACCCTAATTTAACCCTAGTTTAAAAATCTGAAGAACTTACAGGTTCTCAGAGAAAAGGCCTCTAACACTGTAGTCAGGACAAGATGGAAGAAAGAAGAGAAGGCAGTGGGGTCAAAGCATGGGGATGAGACAGTGACCACACTGCCCCAACGGAGGAGGCCCCCAGAGAGACGGCACACTCGGCCCCTCACCCAGCGGACTCACAACAGTCAACCCATTAACCCACACCATGTGTCACTGTCCAAAAGGAGGACTTCTCTATCCATCCTTGTCTGGAAACAAACTATAATCTCAAACTCTGTTACGCATCAGAGAGAATCTGACTGTCTTTGACAACTGATCAAACCTAACTTTTAAAAAGCAGGCTGCTTACTGTAAAGATTCAGCACTTCGGAGGGGCACGTGGGTTAAGCATCCAACTCCTGATTTCGCCTCAGGTCATGATCTCAGGGTCTTAAGATCAAGCCCCGTGTCAGGCTCAGAAAGGAGTCTGCTTGAGATTTTCCCTCCCCCACAACCCCATCCCCCATATACATGCACGCTCTCTGGCGCTCTCAATCTCTCTCTCTCTCTCAAGTAAATAAATCTTAAAAAAAAAAAAAAAAAGATTCAGCACTTTAGGGCATCAAAACCCCAAATAAGCATTACATTCTCCTTTTAGAGTATTCTTTCTCGAATACAGCTTAATTCAGGTTTTTAAAAAATTGTTTTTTATTGGGGGAGGCAGGGAACGGAGTTAGGTGACAGTGTGTGAGGACGACAGAGCTTCCGTCACTACACAACCTGATGTGCATCACAGGACAATGGCTCTGTGCCACCGTGAGCCCCACACAAGACCTACTTGAGAGAAAACTGGACACAACAAATTCTAGGACTTTACCTAGAGTTGACAAAATAAGCATTAAAGAAATATATAAAAACTAAGAGCAGATAAAGTGTCCAAATATACAAGCACAAAGGGCATGGAAACCAGACTGCAGGACGGCCCCTGAGGAAGGACACCCCAACGCATGCCTTATCTAGAAGCATCTCTCTGTCAAAATCTGACCCCACTTCAGATGCACCACTTCTCAGCAGCTGGTCCCTTCCCACGTAAAAGGGAGGAGCCTGGGCCCCCAGCTGCCCCCCGGGCCCCCAGCCCCCAACCTCCTCACCATCTCATAGGTCTGCATGGCCAGCTGCACCTTGTCATCACTGTACTCCTTACACTTGCTGTAGGCACTCTGGATCTTCTGCAGGTGCTCCACACGCTGGTCTGGAGAAAGTGTCTTCACTGTGGATATATACTCTGCAGCCAGGATATCGATCTCTGCCTTCTTATCTGACAGAGAAATGGGGGAAAAGCTAGTCCCTGCAAGAGATTCCCTGATAACAAGTAAAGCTGAACAATGCCAAGTTGCGGGGCGCCTGGGTGGCTCAGTCGTTAGGCGTCTGCCTTCGGCTCAGGTCATGATCCCAGGGTCCTGGGATCGAACCCCGCATTGGGCTCCCTGCTCCGCGGGAAGCCTGCTTCTCCCTCTGCCACTCCCCCTGCTTGTGTTCCCTCTCTCTCTCTCCCTCTGTCAAATAATAAAATCTTAAAAAATAACAAAACAAAGAACAAAGCCAAGTTGCAGCAAAGAAGTGGCTGACTCAACACGGAGGCACCGCTGGTGGGAGCACAGCGGGCACGGCCTTCGGCAAACAGCCCAGCACCAGGGGCCGTGGGGACACCACAGCTAGGACAGCACACCCAGGACGTGACAGTGTTTTTAAGTGCCCTCCCAGAAAGTACGCATGCCGACCTCTCTGACTCCCCACAGTCCCTGCTGGAATAGCAAGTTATGAGCTCACCTTAGCTACAACCTGGCATACTAGTCCTCAGTACACACACCCTAGATTTAGGATACATACGGGACAACATTCATAAATGCAGACAACAGGAAACGAGCCAAATGTGCAATCCACAATAAAACAGACCAATAAGCTGTGGTCCATTCACACAGCAACCAAAACGGCACAACAACTATTACACACAGCAACGTGAGTTAATCCCACAGAAAGTGGCAGTGAGCCAGAAAAGCGAGACACAAAGGACAACGTACTGTGAGATCCCACTGATATTAAGGATGGACACATACAACTGTGAACTCTTTGGTTTAAGGAGGTGAGAAAACTTGTTGTAGGGGAAACTGAGGGTGGGAGCCCCTTGCGGGGAGGGGCAGCATGCTCAGCAGGCTTACACAGGGCCCCAGGCGCCCGAGGCCCCACTTCTCCGTCTAGGGAGAGGTTTGTAAGGTGCTGTTTGTTGGGCAATTTACAAACACTTGTGCTTATTCCTGAATGTAAATGCTGTATTTCATAATAACAGAACTCTCTGTATCTGCTAGTCAGGAGACTGTAGCTCAGTGAAAAACCACAGCTATTCTGATCTTACAAAACCTGTGGCAGGCACAATGAATGAAAAATCACCCACACCCAAGCACATCGCCACAAAACATAAAACCTCAGGGACAAAGACAGCAGTCCAGAGGCTGCCTAACAAGAAAGGCAAGAAGACCACAGGTATACGGGCGCCTGGGTGGCTCAGTCATTAAGCGTCTGCCCTTGGCTCAGGTCATGGTCTCAGGGTCCTGGGATCAAGCCCCGCATCGGGCTCCCTGCTCAGTGGGAAGCCTGCTTCTCCCTCTCCCACTCTGCCTGCTTGTGTTCCCTCTCTCGCTGTATCTCTCTATCAAATAAATAAATAAAATAAAATAAAATAAAAAAAGAAGACCACAGGTATAAAGGATGAGGAATCAGATCTCTCAAGGGCCACAGGGACGCTGGGAAACAAAGCAGCAGTGCCTTCCACATGCTGAGGGAAAATGATTGTCAAGCTGGAATTCTATACCCAGCCAAACTGTTCATCAACTATGAGACCAGAACAAGCATGTTTTCAGACATATGGCATTAAGAAATCTACCTTCCCATGTACCGTTTTTTCAGGAAACTACTGGAGGAAAGGCTCCACTACAATAAGGGATCAAGAGAAAGGATGTTTACAACACAGGAATCAGGGTCCTGCCCCAAAGATGAGCAGAGGCAGTGCCTGTGCCGCAGGCCTGGAAACAGCCAGCCCAGACAAGACCCATAGGACAGAGGCTCCAGGGGAAAGGTCTGAATGTGCAGGGCAAACTTAGGACTGGCAGATCACCTGGGGCAGCAGACACAATGAAAACGTGCAACGTGTATGGAACATGGAAAACAAGGCAATTATGAGCTCTAAGAAAAAGTTATTCCAAAAAGGTCTCGTAAGCATAGCATGTGATGTGGCCCAGCTGCAAACCACCTCCACAGGAGTCCTGAAGGAAACGCCATCCCAGGTCTATGGCAGACTCAGATTCTAAGCCTAGACACCAGGAGACGGGGGGGGGAGGGGGGAAGCAAACCTTCATATTCCACAATAACAGAATAAAGTCCAAAGCAAAAGGGAAATACAGTAAGAAACAGCAGCAAAAACATGATGTTTAGAAACAAGGAGCTAAATACCAGAAGACTGCAAAGTGCTATCTGTTTAAACCACGTATACACAGTTTGAAACCAGAAAACCTTTTAAAGGAAAGGAAAGATAACGAGGAATGCACGATGGTTGTAAAGATGCTACAGGAAGCTGTGCTAGAACCCAAAAAACCAAGTCGAATTTTAAAGTGTCAGCATTGTCCGTAAGACGGGGCCACCTCTCCCCAGCTGTCAGAGCCCACCTCGGGCTGTACTAAAGAGCCCGGACCTACCTTCTGTCCTCTGGTCCAGCTCTCGCATGAGCTGGAAGTTCCTCTGAAGCTCACACGGAAGGTTCTCAATGCCTGAAACATAGAGACGTGTACTTCTCAGTAGCAGGATAAAACCTGCCTTCCAGACTTTACACCTAAAGTTTATAAAGAATAAGCTCCCTTCATTTTCTGTTTCTGTTAGGATTTGAGGAACAGAAGGATTAAGTTAAGTCTTTGGGGGAGACAGGCTTCAGATGGTGTTGGAAGCTGGAAAAGTTAGAGGAGGACTTACCCTCCAGCTGCAAGCAGAGGCCGGGAAGGTGGCCCTTGTGACTCTTCCATCCCGGCCCTTGTGACTCTTCCATCCCACACCCCCAGCCAGTCCTCCCCTCTCAGTACCCCCTCACAGTGGGTAAGACCAAAGCCCTGGGGTCTCTTTACTCTGATACCCAGTTCATGGGGTGGTGCCGGCCAGTGCTGTGTGGCAGACTTCATGCAAGGAGACATGGTCTGAGCTATACAATACAACAGCCATTGGCCACGGGGCTGCTGAGCACCTGAAATGGGGCTACTACGACTGAGGGACTGAACTTTTCCTTTGCTCAAGTTTCATTCATTTCAAGTTACACAGACCATGCTGGCCAGCACAGGTCGAAGACCCCAGCCCACACTGCTTTCCCCACTGCACTGCCGTGCTCCTACTCCAGGCCAGCCATCCAGCCTGTCTGCAAGCTTACAGCTGCCCAGCTCACCCAGAGAATGGCACACATGCCCTCCCCAGCCTCCAGGCTCACCACAGCCTCCCCAAGGACCTCCCTGTTCTGTCCTATCCTGGGTTCTGCAGGACAGTGCCACCCCAGGTCTCTCACCGCCTGCTGGGCTCCTTCATGCCCCTTAATCTGCTGTGAACTTTTAAAAAGTCCATTTACCCCATTTGAAAGTAAGTTCCAGGAAAATGAGGACCGAGGCTTAGCACACAGCAGGTGTTCAAAACTCAAGCAGGCACCTCCATTCTGAGCCTGCACACAGGTGCCCCGTGCACGATGGAACTCACAATCCTCAAAGTGTCTTCATAGGGCTCACTGGGCAGGTACCAGGACAAGAAGGGCAAGCCACAGTGCTCCCCAGCAGACAGGTCAGCGCAGTAAAGACAGGGCAGGAAAGGGCCTCCCCTCCTCAGTGCTCTCTCACCGGGACCCCCTCCCATGGCTCGGGCTGAACCCCACCATCTCCCCCAGGGCAGGGGCTCACTCCCCACCGTCAGCAGCTGCAGGTACCAATGCCCGTGTATATTCCCACTGCAATAGAGAGCTCCAGAGCACCCAGCCCAGCCCCCCCCAGCCGCCCCCCCAAGGCCGTCCGCAGCCAGAGCCAGATCAGCAGCGTTCAAACGTGGGCTCTCCGCTGTGGAGTGCATGACCTTGACAAGCTACTTGGCCTCCACGGCCTGCATTCTCCCACCTGCTCAGAAGTTCTCAGGACGCCCCAACCTGAGCTACATGTAGGCAGAAGGATGCCTGCAGGAAGAGTCTCCCAGACGTCTTTCCGTGGTGACCATCACTGCCCTCAACACCTGAACCAGCCCTGCCAGTCCCCTCCCACCAACGCCACGCGGAAGGACAGGCACCCTAGGAGACTCTCCCCGCCAGTACTGGCTCCCCCAACTCCCAGGTCACCGCACGAGCAGGCACAGAACCCCGGCTGGAGTCCCCCCCACATCCCGGACCCGGAGCCCCCCAGGACCAGCCCAGCGTCCGAGGAGGTTGGGGCTCGAACATAGAAGCCTGACTGCGCGGTGGGGGCGGGGCCAGGGCGGGGCCTAAGGCGTGGGGGCGGTGCCAAGCCAGCGGAGCGGGGCTATGAGGGGCGGAGCGGGGCCGTGAGGTGGGCCTTGCCCGGGAGGGGCCGAGGGCGGGGAGGGCGG